GTAAGCTTTTCTTTGGCTGTCACTTCTTCACCCTGACCTGTCTTATTTGGCTCAGCAGAACTAAAATATATATTCTGCTGCTTTTACACAGGCACTCACATAACGCTCAGCGATTCTCTGCGCGATCAACCTCTCACGTGTTTAAGCTTGCTGCAGGAGATTTCACTTGTCATGTTTGCATAGCAAGCTAACGATTGATAAGACGATGTCAGAGGAATTGGTGCGCAAATGATCGTCACTCACCAATCAGTGCTGTCGCTCTCTATACACAGTTCGCGCGATTGCAAAGTGAAAGCAAAAAACAAGCACAAATTCTGGCTCACCGATGCCAATGACATAATTACCCAGCTACATTTCCGAAAGAATGCAAAAGCATTGACATATATTTTTCCTTCCTACGATAGCCCGACGGGCAGGGCAGAGATAGATTTTGGTAGCCCAACTGGAAAAATCGCTAGTCCCGGGACGTCGGGCTAGTGATTTTGCGAGCCCTGCATCTGAGGCAAAGATGAGCCAGTTTCACTGGAATGGTTACAAATTCCTCTTGGATTAAATTCACAGAAATATTTCACTTTGTAAACAATATATGATATTATGTGGTTGGAACTTCTCCCTCTATGCAAAATCTAATGAAAAAAAGGGCACAAGTTATATGTGAACAGTGACCAGTATAAAAAAAAACTTCAAACACCAACATTCAGGCCCTTAAAATATCACTCCAACCTCTCTGATCATAGCAGAGCTTTTGAAAACCAGTGTAATTACATCAAACCTCACGAAGACCTCAGGCTAAATTTCACAATTGCTATGAATTTAGTGGTATTCAAAGTCAAAACTAATCTTTTAACCCAATCTGGGTCTCAGTAGCTTTAAAATAAAAATCTTCCAGGTCATTTCATTGCTTCCATGCTGTATGCCTTACACTTCTTCCTTCAACTGAAAGAAGGGGCTTCTTTTCTTATCATAACAAATTAGCAATAAGAGCTATTTGAAGGGATTTGGAGTAATCCACTCAGGGGTTTTTGTTATCTTTGATGTTACGCGTTTTTGGATGCAACAGTGGCCTAATCTATGAAGATTTTATTATCTATCCTATGGGAAACAATAAAATAGTTTTATCTTATCCTAATAATCAGTTCCTAACCACTGTAGCTCAGGTGGCAGAGCAGGTCAGCCACTAATCAGAAGGTCGGTGGTTCGATCCCAGGCTGCCTCCTGGCTGCATGCCAAATGTCCTTGGGCAAGATACTAACCCCATATGAATGCCTACTGGAAGAGGCCCAGTGGCGCCTGTGTCCGGCAGCCTCGCCTCTGTCAGTGCGCCCCAGGGCAGCTGTGGCTACAATGTAGCTGCCATCCCCTGTGTGTGAATGGGTGAATGACTGAATGTAGTGTAAAGCGCTTTGGGGCTAGAAAAGCGCTATACAAATGCAGGCCATTTACCAAGAAATGTAGTAAAGTCATATACAAATAGTATTGAAGCAGAAAAATTATTTTCTGGCCTACTGTCTGTTCTCCTTTCTTCAACAGCAGACAGTAGAGAGTATCAGCACACTTACATTCAGATATTTAGTAAGCTTAGAATCAACAATTAAAATAATTAGCCTAAAATAAAAAATTATGTTTAAAGAACAAGGCATCAGATCAATCATCTTTAGCACCCTGCTCCCCAGGTTTTGTTAAAGATTGAGATATTTGCTTTTGATTACTACCAAAGCTTATAAGCTAAATGTGAGTATTTAGGACAGCCCTAGACTTTTCACTTCATGAAGGAATGCAGGGAGCACCAAAAGGGAACCATTTAGCATAGTTATCTCTCCTTTTGTACAGCCAGGATAATGAGATCATGGAAAAAGCACCTGAAACAGGCCCTGTGTTACATCAGCAAACTTCTGGGCACACTTCTTATATTACTGGACTCATACCAACTCTGAAGAGGTCAGTTTGCTGCTCTGCTGATCACAGTAAAAATCAATATGCCATTAAAGCACAGGAATAAAGAGAAAGGGGCGAGGGGGGGCTATTTCACTCATCAACTCAGAGGAAAGAACATGAAAAGGAATAACAGACTAATAACTTTAAAAAATAAAAGTATGAATTATGTTTGGCTTTGTTTTGTTAGTAAAGAGTTTGTATAATGTGCTTCATTTATTTCTCTCTGCAACGTAGTCAATTCTACAGTAAATGAAAAATGAATTAAAAATAACAATAAATCCCCACTGGGAAACGTTTTACTGAAATTATTTTGATGATGAATTTTGATGCATCGCTTTTTATTTTTTTTATTTATGCAATTACAAAATTCCAATTAAGCCTTTAATTGAATTTCAACTTTAAACATAAGAAGTCCAACCACCCACTGAAAGGCTTTGAATGAAAAGAAAGAACAGAAAGTGATGAGGTCACACGAGCACAGAGGGTAACCCGGAGAGGTCGAGGAGACAGATGCTCACCTAGAGAGGGAGCAGTGCAAAAGTCCATGGATGCTTTTGCCTTTATTTTGAAGGGTCAATGCGTTGACTGAAGAGCAAGAACAGCAGGCCTGTGCTGTCAAAGGAGGAGCTCTTTCTTTTCGACTTGTCTAGACTTTTGCTGGTGGAAGCGAATCATGCAAGGTATATAATGACAGGGATTCCTACACAGACCACTGACTGTCTGAGTTGCAGAGGTTTTTGTTTTGTTTCACACCAAACTAGTGTTATGGGTATCAGAACAGCTTTAAACTCTAATCACGGGAAATATGAGCGAGCTATTTTGAGTCTCATTAGCTGACAAACCCTGTCCCGAATGAGAAGAGTGAGGAAGAATCTACTTTCACTGATAACTGGTCATTAAGCTGTGAGGGTCACACCAAAGAAAGAAAGAAAAAAAACAAATAGCCCTATTGTTCTACCAAATGTAGCCTCAACTTTAAAAAAACAAAGTTGCACAAAATGTCCTGGTCTGGTTTATTAAGTGATTATTCAGAACGTTACATACAGATTTTTACTGACCAGACAAAAGCACCACCCTCAGAGATGGAGTGAAAACTGATGTCCCCCTGAGTGGGTCAATGCAGCGTTTTCTTGTGCCTCCTCACGACAGTGGGCGTTCAGCTGCAAGAACAAATATTTGGTGGAGATGCCAAACCCTCTCTCTGACACACATCAGGCTTTGTCCAATAAAGTGGGGTGGAACAATGCCTCCATAGCTCGGTATGACCCCCTAGTCCAGGAGGAGAAATTGGTCACGATTGATTTAAACTAAAGAGCTACATCTTTAAATCCACGGTGTTTTCACAACTGTGGTAAACAAATTCCCCCAAACCAAATGGCTTAATTAGTAAAATTACTGAAAGTTTACTTTACGTCAGCTGAAAACTACCTGACACCAGGTCACAGATGTGTTTTGGTTCATTTTGTTAAAATAAGCAGTCGAGTGTAAATTTTGCATTAGTTTGCATACTACCGCTCAAAACAAAATTATTTTCATCTGCAGCACGAGCTGTAGTTACTCCTCACTCGTCTCCAACTATGAACAAAATCATTATCAAACACCATCTAAAAGCGGGTCTGTGTTAGGATGTTACACTAACTTTAATGTTAAATGTTTAAGACTTTGAGTGTGAAATTATGATGATTACTTCAAAGTAG